GAATGATTATTTATGCATAAATACTTTTTCTCTGCAAAAATAGTTGTGGAATCCTAAACACTTGTCCTCCCTGCTCCAATTTATGCAGCAAAAGTTCTTCTGTCTTCTTTATAGAGTTTTAGGAAATGAAGTGTGTTCTGAATGGAACATTTTAATAGCAATACAGAAGCAGCAGTGTGAGCTCATGCATTGTCTCTGTAATATACACATTGCTTAGACTAATTGTATGCTAAAGGACGATGACTTTTAATACCATATGATAAGCTTAAGACACATACTTTGGAACACCTAGGGGGCTTAAAATTTATCTTCACCCCCTGCAAACCCTCATTCAGCAAATGTGTTGACTGAAACTAATCAATGGAGAGATGTGTAGGAATTAAAATCTAGTGCTCATCTTCTATTTCTGCTTAGTTTCATTATTTCTTGGTTCTGTTTAAAAGAATACACCTCTACTTAAAAATAATTGGTTTTATTTTTTATTTTATTTTTTGTGGGACTGGGGATCGAACTCAGGACCCTGTGCTTGCCGGGCAATTGCTTATTCTACTGAGCTATCTCCTTGGCCCTTATTTTTTATTTTTATCAATAATCAAAGCAAATTTAATAATCAATGAGAATAAAAATAGTTATTATAATGTGTGTCTTTATCTTCAAAGTAATTATTCAGAGTACAAGACAAAAAAAAAGAGGCATACAAAAAAGAGAAAACCCAAAATAGCACAAAATTTTCTTTTTCTTTTTTAAAATGTATTTGATAGAAGGTCTCACTATGCAGCTTGGATCCTCCTGTTTTCAACCTCCCTAGTACTAGGATTATAGTTGGGACTGTGGTATGTAGTGCTAGAGATCGAAACCCTGTCCTTGTGCTTCTCTAAGCAGGTGCTTAGTCTGCTGAGCTACCTCACTGGCCCATAGATTCTTCTTTTTAATAAGAAATCCTTAGAATATTGCAGATAATATTAAAGTTCAATTTGGTCATGAAGCCCATCCCTGAACAGCATCTTCTTCAGAAGGAGATGCAAGGTTCCTGTTGTGAATTGTCTTTTTAGATTGGGCTTGGATGAATGCAATAGAAAAATCCAAATCATTGAGGCTGTAACAATATAAATTATTCTCAGCTGCATATGGAGGAAGACAAGCCAGATGTCAAGCCAGGCTGTGCTGGGAACCTGTGTCTTCTCTCCCCTCCTGTACCCTCCCCTCTCCTCCCCTCCCTGTCCTTTCCTCTCTCCCTCCCCCTCTCCCCTCTCCTCTCTCTTCTCTTCTCTTCTCTTCTCTTCTCTTCTCTTCTCTTCTCTTCTCTTCTCTTCTCTTCTCTTCTCT